GAGCTGTGAGAAGGTTTGAATTTTTTTTGCGTTTTGCTTATTACAATTTCCGTGTTTTAAGCTAGTGGCAATTGGATTTTTTACGTACATTGATAGCTAATATGAATTAAATTTAGATTTCAAGCTTCCAAGATTTTATTTAAGTAAAAATGGAAACTAGATGATTTAAGTGTAAAAAAAAATTTAAACAACTCTTGTTTTTCTCATATTTGGATATTGTTTTTAGACGTCGTCCAGTTGAAACAGAAACGCGCGAAGGAAATGGTGGAACAGAAGATGGTCAAAATAATGATGTAGACATTATTAACGGGAATGAAAATTCTCAGTTTGTTTCATTTATGCAGATTGTTTATTTTATTTCGGTATCTAATATTGTAAAAACTGCTATGGTATTTCGGAATCAAATATTGTAAAAAAAAAACTGTTTCCGGTAGTTATTGAAATTCGTACTAGCATAGTCATTTTCTTAAAGTGTTAGTCTTCAAAGGTGCCGTGATTCTAATTATTAGCTACATATTCAATGTTCGGATTACCTACTCATTAACTTTTGAATTTGCTTAGAGTAGCTGACAATATTTTCGCAATTATTTTCTACATAGGAACCAGAAAAGATAGTGCTTTTTGTTTCTAATGTTATTGCAGATACAGTGGTTCGGGTTCATTATCTGCGACTATTGGTGATCCTGTCGATACACCGGTTGATACTGCTGAATCGTTCAGTGATAGTACCTCAACAACAGGGCGCTCAAAGAAGCGATCATTGTATGTTACTCATTCTTGTGACTAATTGCAGATTTTATACGGTATTATTTTGATGTATCGTTTGCTCAGTTCAGTGAAATAAATTTTGTCCACATTAAACTTAGTTGGCTAGTGCGTAGGAACATTTTTCAGATAATTTGTATGCATTAGTATAGTTCTAATTCTAAAATCGCAAGTTTTGATAATATGAAAGTTCCATTTAATTTTTTTTTTAATTGATAATACGGATTTTTGTTTTTTTTCAAAATACCAAATGTTTATGAAGGCTTATAAAATTTCGTTATATTAAGGGGCTTTTTTAGGCAGGTTCGCTTATTAACCTGCGAAATCTAAAAAGATACAGATTATGAAAAGGATTAAGTAATTATCGGTAAATAGGTTTCAAATAGTTTCAGTAATCCAATACTGAATGCCGTACGAATGAACAGAATATTTTCTTGATAATAAGGAAGAAAATAATTTTAGCTATAAGCATATACTGCTATTTGAATTGTAAGCAAAAATTTGCTGTGAATGAAAAAAAATCCCTGTCCACTTTGCTGTTGGCATGTTTTATTATTCAACTTTAATAAATGAATTTTAGTGTGGAACACGAAAGTGAAAGCAGTTTGAGTGCTAAACGACGCAATGATGATGAAGATGGTTGCAAAGAGAAAGAAACGATGGAAACTGATCTTGTCAATGACTGTAAGGCGCAAAGTGTTCTAAATCAAGATCTCCCGGATAAAAGTAGATCAAGTAGTGAATCTGTGGTAGCTCAGGAAGTGCTATCGGAACCAAAAGAGAATGCTAATTCAAAAAATGAAAAAAACATCTCTGAACATCTTGAAGAAACGGCAAATTCTAACGGTTTGAAATATGTTAAAGGATCAGTGAGAGATGAGGAATGCGCGAGTCGCATGGAAGGTGTGGTACAAAAACTGCAGGAATTGCGGAAAAAAGAAGCTGAATTGGAGAGTATTTCCAAACACAAAAAGAATACCCTTCGTTCGAGTCCTCGAGATCAAGGCGCCAATTTCTCCAATTCTAATCATGATCGAGAACATGAGCAGGATTCGAGCAAGTCTACTAATCAATCAATTCAAGTCCAAAATTCGAAAAATAACAACAAAACAGGCGATAAAAAGTGGGTTAATAATCTTAAAAGTAACATACTTTGTATGAAATCTGATGAAATGAAAGATAGTGTGGAAGAAGGTAGTGAATTTTTTCCTTTTCCTAATGATCTTGATTCGGAGGAGGACGAATTAATGTGGCAAAATAACAGATTATACAGAAATAGAGCAGGAATCAGATCTGCAGGACAATATGATTCGAATAATGAAGTTGAGAATTTGGTAGATACGCGCAATTCTTCGGATAAATCGGAAATTTTGAAAATCTCAAATAGTGAGCTAGAATCGAATAATCGTCATCTGATTACAAATTTCAAAGAAGAGGAAAAATTTGATAATGATGGTAATGATTATGACAATGATGATAATGACGACGACGACGATGATGGTGGTAGTGATGATGATGACGGTGATGATGACGGTGATGATGATGATGATGATGATGATGGTGATGATGGTGATGATGATGATGGTGATGATGATGATGATGATGA